TGGGCTCTTTCCGTAGTGCTCCTTTAACCATTCCTTCATTAGACTTTCCAGCATCCATCCTTTCTGGCTGACTAAAGCCGCACCTCGTTACAAGCCGCATGGATCAAAGCGTGGGAAAAAGTAGCGGCTTATAGTCTGTAAAATACGGTAATAAGATCATTTTCTCTTACTTTGAACTAAAAAAGAAAATAATTGGCTTGTGGAGCTCTCAGAGACCTCTGTGTTCCACCCGGTTGTACCCAGCGGTCAGCCCGGCGTATCTCTGACTCAGAAGCTCTGGTGTTGTGCACAGTTAACTCCAGTTGTAGCTAGGTTGCTACCTCCATTAGCTTAGCTCCCTCCTCCGCGTTAGCTTTGGGCTAGCTTCAGGTTAGCTTGTAGATGGGGGTGAAAAACTTGCCCTGATATTTCTGACTTTATTCTCAAAGAATGCTAGAAGGTTGTTACAGTCAGACCTTGAGTAAACTGGCATGAGAGGGACGTGAGGAGAAACAATCTGGTTTATTGTGTCAAACAGAACTTTAGAGTTATTTTTGTTTACAGCGATCAGCTGAGCAAAGTAAGCAGCCCTGGAAGTCTCAGTCAGAGATGTTATCAGTTCTCTAAAGTGCAGCCTGTGACTTTCTAATCTAGTTAACATCCAACGTCTCTCGGCTCTGCTGCGTGTCCTTCTGACACTGTAAATGTTTTGATTAATCCAGGGACTTTTCCTCTTGCTAGAAAAAGTGATCTGCTCAACAGGAGCTACTTTATCTAAGGCCTAGTCCACACGTAGCCGGGTTTTTTTAAAAACGAATATCCGCCCCTCCAAAAACTTGCATCCACACCACCTCGTTTTAAAAAAAAAACCCTGTCCACACGTACCCGGATAAATACGTTGTTATGGACATGCCAGACCTGTAGGCGGCAGTACTTCCCCCGTTCTTAACCTGGTCCTTCGTCTGTGGTCTTCCGCAAGGAGCAGTAATTCCACTTGCAAACACAAACAAGCAAACAGCGCTTGGACAATTGATAAAGCGAGCGCAGCTCTGAGGCATCCGTGATGTCGGCTAGTGTAAACACAGGTCGCACACTTGATGTCAGCATTTTTTTGTCGCGGAAAGTGACGTTGCGGAACTTAAAACTCCGGTTTTGTCCGTCCACACGCAGACACCCAAAACGGAGAAAACGCAGATCTTCACTTTGGCCGGAGTTTTTAAAAAGATCCGTTTTCGTGTGAAAAAACTCCGTTTTCGTGTGGATGACAGGCCAACACGTAGGAAAATATCTACGTTTTGGCAGATCCCCGGCTACGTGTGCACAGGGCCTCAGATGCTGCAGCATTTTTTATCCAGTTTTGCAGTTTTTCTGTGTAAAAAAACTGAAGCAAAAAAACAAAACTACAAATGAACTCAACCGTGAACTGATTTGGACCAGATGAACAGGTGTGTGCTGCAGGTGTGACAGCCCAGTACACCTGTAGGTGTAGAGTCACACCTTCACAGGAGGATCCAATTAACACAATTAGGCTCCTTCAGCTGATGTCTCATCACACACACACACACACACACACACACACACACACACACACACACACACACACACACACACACACACACACACACACACACACACTGTATTATGCTGAAAATGTTCCCTAAAACTGCTTTTAGAGAGACAACTTTTCTCTCCCGTTTCAGTGAATGTTGACAGAAACATGAAGGAGTTTTCTAAGTGAGCTGCTGTTTTAGATTTGAGTCTGCAGCCTCCGCGAGGGCTGAGACTGACAGCCAAACACAGCGGGGAAGTTATAAAGTATTCAATAAGACGCTGGAAGACCAGCGATAAAAAATATAGACGATCACCAGCTCTGCTCTTTATACCCGCAAGCTTTTCCAAATTGCACAGGAAAACATTTTATTCTGGACTGAAGCTGCAGATCCTGGAGAAAAGAGCCAGTTTGCATTCACGGATGTTTGTTGTTTTATTGATGGAGGATCTGTAACCGGGGCAGCGTTCACTAACGAACGCGACCCGCAGCGTTAGGGACGGGGTTGAATATTGAATGTTTGAATACTGAAACGAGGTCACCTGCATCCCTGTTTCTAGAGCAGCAATAGCCGTTTGTAACCCGAGGGGGTGTTGTGCTCGAAACAGCACCCCCCAATCCAACATCTGTATGTTAGCATCATTAATTAAAGCTGAAAGTCTGCATGCTAGCCTCCATCCTCCTTGTTTGGCTGCGACTTTGAATAACAGCACACAGATACCAGAGGCCGCCGTGGCTGTACGCACCCCCATCCACCCAACCCCCATCCGCTCAGCCTCTGGGGAAGGGGGGGGTTAATGTGGATCCAGGGCAGATTAGCAGGCTAAAGCTATATGTACTGTAATCAGTGTGATGGGCTTAAAACCCAAGCAAAGTGGGGTCTCCTCGAGGTTAAACCAGCGCCTGTCTCTTCCAGTTATTAATCAGGTGAATGTTTTTTTAATCTAATTTAATTTTTATGACCAATTTAAT